ATCTAACCAGAAAAAAATGACCAAAGTTAAAGAATTCAACGAATCTCTCTCAGTGATTATCTTAAGTGAAAAATGGCCTGAATTCACCAGTAAAAAGATGTAGAATAGCTGTCTTTTATCCAAGAAATACATCCCAGTAACAAAGATATCCACAAACTGAGGGTCACTTACACACTCACGCCTGCTGATGCACCATTATCATCCAAGACATACTAGATTCTATAAACCTGAATGTTTTAAATGTCCCATAAAACTTTAAACATTAAAGCATCAGTGGTCTTCTAACAAGTAACATGAGTTATGAACTCTCACACTATCTCACCCACTGAGCAAGAGCAAAAGCCCTGAAGGATGCACACAGCAGCTGACTGAGGCCTCTGAAAGCCTGAAGCAGTAGAGTGCCCCAGCCCTAAACAGGACATCTACACCATACCCCCTCCACACACAGGCTCAGGGAGCACTCCAAAGCAGAGACAGAACTGTAAGAGCCAGACCTCAAGGAAGCTGTGAAGTAGAATCTTCTGGACATGGCAGGGCTGCTGCACTCATGAGCTCACATCAGCTGTGGTTGCTGGCAAAAAACCCACAAAAATCAAGCCAGTCAACACTCCAGCAGAGAGATAGGGAAAGGGCTCAGGTCCCCACACCCATAGATGAGAAGCCACAAGCAGTCATTGGATGCTGAGGGAGGGAGAGTCAGTTTTCTTCAGTGGGATGAGCCATGGTGGCTGTCCATGTTCCAATGAACAGTATCTTCAGCCATGGACGTATGGGCAGCACTAGTATGCCCTAGTGGGCTATTTGTCTCCCCAACATGACTGCCCAGACATAAACTGATAAAAGATGACCAGTGAACACACCAAACTGGACAGGGAAAAGCCTGTGAGGACTCAACTCAAAGAATTATAGGCAAAATGAGGAAAGCTGAGAACTCCTGTTTGTCCAGGGCCGGACGGTCAGCCCTGAAAACATACATGCAAGGAACATTAAACAGACTGAACAGGTGTTGTTTAGGAATGTGTGTGTGTGTGTGTGTGTGTGTGTGTCCATGCAATAGTAATTAAATTATAATAGAAAAGAAGGAAGGAAGTAGGAAAGAAAGAAGGAAGAAGGAAGGAAGGAGGAAGGGAGAGAGGGAGGGAGGAAAGAAAGAAGAGAAGGAAGGGAAAAGGGAAGGAAAGAAAGAAAGAAAGAAGGAAGAGAGGGAGGGAAGGAAAATGTAATTAAATTATAATAGAAAGGAAGGAAGGGACGTAAGAAGGGTGGAAGGAAAAGAAAAAGAAAAGACCTGTACTCACATGCCCAAACCCACACAGAAACAGAGACAGCTGTAAAATAATAAAAATAAATCTTCTTTTAAAGGTCTGGAGAGATGGCTTAACAGTTAAGAGCACACACTTCTCTTCCAGAGGCCCTGAGTTCAAGTTCCGGCACCTAAACTAGGCAGCTCCCAACTTACCTAAAGTTCCAGGGGTTCCAAAGTCTCTGCCCTTCCCAAGCACCTGCATCCAAATGCCCACACAAACACACAGGGGTACAGTCATCACACACACACACACACACACACACACACACACACACACTTTTAATATTGCTAAAAATAAATATTAACAGCGAAAGAGAAGAAGACATAAATTTGGAAGGGATAGGAGGAAGCAGGAGTTGGAGAGGGTAGATATTATTTAAATACATCATATTCCTGTGTTAGATTACCAAAGAATAAATTTCTAAAGTTTAAAAAGGAGAATAACAGTAACTCAGAGAAGGGAGACAGCGGAGCACCACTGTTTAATAAGTGTCCTTTGTTTTTCCTCCAGTCTGTTATCAGTCTGAGTATTATGCATGCTTCTTTTTCTTTTCTCCAGTCTGTTATCACTCTGAATTCAGTCAAAGATGGCCCAAATGCGGGTTTGCGGGCAATGTTCTAACAGAGACCCTTTATTTTGCTCCAAAAACCAGGACATGAAGTGCCTCTGGGTTGGACAGAGCAAGTAGCTTTTATTCTTTCTCCGCCCCAACCCATGTTACGGAAGCCATGGGAGCAAGCAGCGTTTATTGATGACTGGAGAACTGTGATTCTGAGTGGAAGTATCCAGTATCCCGGGTTTTCCCTCTCGGTGACCCTCTGTGTCTCCAGAGCCTGGTAACTAAGTTGAGATGCTTAATCCTTAGGAAAGGGGAAACTGGGCAAAAGAAAGTGTTTGGGAGTCATCTATGAAAAGGGAGCTGAAGGAAGCATTTCCAGAAAGTTGTCTAGGGACAGCGGGGCTCAGCCACAAGTTAAGATTCCATAAACAGGAAGTACGCATTTGAAACGTGCGAAGGCCGCTACCCGCACTGGTATATGCTGTCCACTAGATGGCGCAAGTTTCAATCCCCGACTTCAACTAGCACAACCGCGGCTTGGGAAATTGTAGTGTTGCTGGCATCAGGCAGAAAGGAGCCACAGCTAACTCACAAGGTCAAAAAGAAATTAATGTTCTCCACAGGTGGTGCATCATAACCAAAACTTCCAGAACACCCTTCAAAACTGCCATTCACAGGAAGAAATAACAAGGGAAATCAGAACATCTCACAGAGAACGAGAGAATTAATAGACCTTACAAAATTTGCTTTAAAAAGAAAAGTTGATAAAATGAAAAAGATATGCTCCTGACTTGGAGAAAATATTCGCAAATTAAGAATCAGATCTTATGAACGACATAGAAAGATCTCTTAAAAGTCAATGGTAAGAAAGCAAGCAACTTGATTTTATAAAGGGGACTAAAACTTCAATAGACATATTACCAACAAGAAACGCCAGTGTTGGATGGACACTTGACAAGACAGTCAACATTAGGGGAATTCAAATTAAAAGTTCACACCTACTGGAATGGGAGAGGATTCCAAATGCGATATAAGACACTTAGCAAGTGTAACCTTGCCTCATGCAATGGGAATGCTCCCCTCAGGAATTAGCTGGTAATCTCAGGCATGTGTATAAGTTCCATATTAAGCAGAATTCCTTGGGGCTAGTGAGGTGGCTCAGACGGCAAAGGCACTTCCTGGCAAAGTTGACAATCTGAGTTGTATCTCTGGGAGCCACATGGTAAGGAGACAAGTGATTCCAGCTGGTTGCCCTCTCACCTCTGCCTATGTGCATAACGTCCATACACATACATCCACACATGCATACATACACAAATAAATATGTAAAAAAGTTAAATAAAAACAAAATGTTGCATTTATATAAAACTCTATACAAAGAGCTGGAGAGATGGCTCTGTGGGTAAGAGGACCCTGTGCAAGCATGAGGACCTGAATTCAAATCTCAAGTGTGTGCCTATAACCCCGTGTTGGGGGTTGGAGAAAGTAACAGGTGAATGGCCAGCCAGCCTGTCTGAAATGGAAAGCAGATCAGTGAGAGATGCTGTCTTGGCCAATAAGGTGGAGAATGACAGGGAACAACTACACCAAGTCCTTTTCTGCCCTTTGAATGTTCAAACAAGAGCAAGCATACTCACATGCATGCGACACACACATACAACACCACACACGATTTTACAACCTGTGCACAGGCTGGAGAAAAGGCTCACCCATTAAGAGCAACAACTGCTCTTCCAGAGGTCCTGAGTTCAATTCCCAGCAACCACATGATGGCTCACATCCTTCTGTAATGGAGTCTGGTGCCTTCTTCTGGTGTGTCTGAAGAAAGCAATGGTGGTGTACTCATATGCATAAAATGAATAAATAAATTTTAAAAATAAAACTTCCCAGCACTTGGGAGGCAGAGATAGGAGGATTTCTGAGTTTGAGGCCAGCCTGGTCTACAGAGTTAGTTCCAGGACAGCCAGGGCTACAAAGAGAAACTCTGTCTCGAAAAACAAAAAAACAAAAACAAAAAAAAAAAAAGGAAAAAAAACTTTTGCACATATAACAGTCATGGTTACTAAATGAAGAATTTAAAAACCATTCAAATGCTCATCCATTTATAGATGAGCAGGATGTGGAACAGGCCCATAAAGGAACAGAACCATGTGTACACCCAGAATAAGAATACATCGGAAAGCATATGCTCTTAAGGAACCCAGCCTCAAAGGCACACTGACACACTTCATGGTTTCATTTACCTAGCATTCCACAGAAGGCAAGCGTACACCAGCAGAGAACAGATCTGCGGCGCTGAATCAGGAAAAGAGAGGCAAGTTTATGAACAGAAAGAGTACACAGTGTCTTAGTGTGTTAGCTCTGTACTTTGTTGGTGGTTCCAGCCCTGTCCTCTTCCTCATTGAACCCATGAGAGCAGCTATCCCTCATGGTCCCTCTATTAAGTCTGGAACCAACTCTCCTGTGCTTTCCCTGATGATGAACTGAAACTCTGAGTCAAAAGAAACCTCTCCTCCTTGGGTCAGGTGCTTTGGTGACAGTGGTATAATAGTACCCAATATCGAGCTCAAATGGGCCAAAATGCATTCTTTATGGAAGTCTCCCCCAAACCCCTCCTCTAACGTCTGCCTCTCTCCTACAGTGCTATCCCTAGGAAGGCTTTTTGTTTTCTCTGCTTTGGCTTCCTAATAGCTTGCTCAGTCCTTAGCCTGTGTGACTGTACGCTCCCCTCATACTGCATAAGCCTTTCAATCTCCTCACGTCCATCTCTTCCTTCTCTGCCACTTACACTCCACTGAGCATCCTCCGGGCTCTAGGCTTAGCACATCGCTGTGTAGGCTGATCCTGTCAACTACAGCAGCACATAAGTCGTATTTCATATCTTCCAAACCCTAACTCCAACCATAAAATCCCTTCTAAAGAACCAAAGAAGACTGCCAACTGCAGTCCGAGGGAAGGGCCAGAGCTCTGTGGTACAGCTGTTGCCTAGCATGAACAAAGCCCTGAATGGAGGATACCAGAACTGGAAAACACACACACAGGCGCGCACGCACGCGCGCGCACACACACACACAGTTGAGATGAATCCTTTTATCTAAGTTCAGTAGGTGTTCTTCAAAGAAAAGCTTCAGACATGCTCAGTATGACATTTATTGGAAACTGGATATATACATCAACGAAGATCAGAGTAAGCATCATTTGACATATTATCCTAATATCTATGCTATCTTCTTACATAACAAAAAAAAAAATCCCAAAATGCCCCTGACTCTGGTATCAAAGGGCGAGCTTTAGTAGTTTAGAAATATCTCTCTATAAATATAAATCATAACATCTAAAATAACCATCGTTGTTTGAAGCCGAGTTCAAAAGTCCTGGGAAATCTCTTAAAATAATAAGTACTTCAAACAGCTGCGGAGGCTAGAAGGGCTGGGCTGTCACTCAGTGGTGGAATCCTCTCCCAGCATGAAGGACTGGGCTGTAACTCAGTGGTGGAATCCTCTCCCAGCATGAAGGACTGGGCTGTAGCTCAGTGGTGGAATCCTCTCCCAGCATGAAGGGCTGGGCTGTCACTCAGTGATGGAATCCTCTCCCAGCATGAAGGATTGGGCAATAGCTCAGTGGTGGAATCCTCTCCCAGCATGTTGGAGACCAAAGTTCCATCTCCAGTGCCACAAAATATTAATAACCAAAGCTTGAAGCTAAAAGCAACAAAGCTCAGAGGGAAATCCTCTACTGTGGGGCACGTAAAGGAGCTGAAATGCTGGGCAGAAAACTCAGCCACCCTGCATTTCTAATGGCTGAGAGTCAGCGCTAACAGATGTGAGGCTCAGCGAAGAAAGCAGGCCATCTCGCCAACTTTGTCAGCACTGGTACATAACGGCAAAGCCCTCCTTCAGGAGCAGGGATTGGCATAAGCTTTCTGAAACTTATGCTCATCTCTCATTATCCACTCCCATAATTACTTTCTCCCAAACTGAGAAAAATAGGAGTGTCACTTTAAAAAAAAAAAAAAAAAAAGAGTCTGCTTTGCTGAAGATGGGGTGCACCACTTTGCTTGGTTCGGCTAAGGAGCACTGGCCCGAGCTCCTCTTTCCCAGTCCCCTCACCTCCGTTAACATTAGCAGCTTCAGGGGTCTTTGGTTCTTCAAAGTTTCTCATCTCACAATGTCTGTGTAGCTTCTCTGCTCACAAACAGCTCCGCCCCCACACTGTCACGTGGTTCTCACAGCCTATGAGGTAGGAAGACAGGGGTCATGACCCATAGCTGAAAGCTAAGGAGCTTGGGACTCACAGGGTTAGGTCCCTTGGTCACATCTACACCGCAGAATCAAAGCTAAAGCACAATTGCAGCTCCTGGGTCTCCCCACTGTCTAGGGACGAGACCCCTGCCCTCGTCACGCGCCATCCCGCCTTCAAGAGTCTCAGACAGCCCCGTTGAGAACTGGATGAGTCCGCATTCGATAGATGATGACCGCAGTGGCCGGGCACAGGAACAAGGAGGTCATGATGACAATGGTAGCCAAGATGATGAGGACTATGGCCCAAATGTCCAGGATGTGCTTGGGAAGCAGGACATCCACAGGGGATTGGCTGATAGCATCCATGTTGGCTGGCCCTGGAATGGACAGGAAAGGAAAGTCAATTTTGTGTACCCTCTTCCCACCTCCCTCCTGGGAATCAGACTTGCTGGGATCCTTAGTGGTAATGATAATGGCCATTCTATTACCAAGCATGTGTAGAACACTTTTTTTAATATTTATTTGTATTACGTATGTGTGTGTGTGTACACAGGTGTGCACACACCTATGCTCATATGAATGTCTGCAGAGACCAAAAGGGACTGTCAGGTCCCCTGCAGCTGGAGTTATAATTGGCCACCTGACCTGTGTGCAGTGTCCCCTGCAAGAGCAGCAAGTGCTCCTAACCACAGAGCCACCTCTCCTGTCCCTTACGCAGGGCACTGTATGTCTATTAACTCATTCTACCCTCACATCAACCACCAACCCAATGAGGAGGGATTCCAAGAACTGTTCAATTTTTGTTTCATGGCCTTTATCTCCAATTATTCCCATTTTACAACAGAATCAAAGCCATGTAGATGTCACTAATTTGGCCTAGGAAGTAAGCCCAGATGGATGGAACACTCATTCTTACTGTTTAAATTACTAGTCTCCTTCCTTTATCTATAAAACGATAATTAATTGGTTTGGGTGTTCGATTATTTGGGTGGGGGTGGGGCAGGGAGCATATGTGTACAAATGCACATGAACATGTATGTTCTACATGTGAAGGACATACGACAACCTTGAATGTCATTCCTCTGGTGTAATCCATCTTGGTTTGGGATTTTTTTTCCCATTAATTCATTTACTTATTCATTCTACATCCTGATCACTGCCCCCTTCCTGGTCCCCCCTCACATAGTTCCCTCTCCCCTCCCTCTCTCCCTTCCTCCTCTCCTCCTAGAGGGTTAGCCCCACACACACATATCCCCTAACCCTGACTCATCAAGTCTCTGCAGGATTAGGTGCACCCTCTCTTGGGGTGGTTTTTTTTAAATACATGACCATATTTTTTTTTTATTGGACAAGAAGTATAAAAGAAAGCCCCTATTCTGGCCCTTTTCAAGGCATCTTCTTGTTCCACAGGGCTAAGGAAGACAAAGTGTTTGGAAACACCCAGGTGACACCAGGATTTGTATACTGTGATGGGCCTCTCACATCTCAACAGAACATAGTGTGCTATGCTCTGGATCCCTGGGGCAGGAAAAGCAGCACTTTCATTGCTGTTACTGAAAATTGTTGACAGGTTATAGAGAAACACAAGCAAGAAAGCTGACACACTCGGCACTGTGGTACAGATGGACAACTGCACATCTGTAGTCATTCTGACCAGCCCCACCCAACTCCAACTACCAGTACACAGTGTGGTTTCTGGGTCAGGGCCTCTCACTGGGACCTAGGGCTTGCAGACTCAGCTTGGCAGGCCAACTAGCACGCTCCAGGGACCTGCCTGCCTCTGGCTCCTGGCTCTGGGATTACAAGCATGAGCCACGACACCCAGCTTTTACACAGATACTGGACACTGAACTTTTGTTTGTGGCAAACATTCTACCAAATGAGGCAGCTCCCCAGCTCTCCTGATAAAAACAACTCCTTCTTTTCCAAAGAAAGTCTACCTATGTACTTACTCCTGTGAGATCGTTGGGACATCCACCTAAGCACAGGGATGGAGATTGGACTTAGGTGTTGGCATAGCAAAATCTCCATAGCCACATTTGAGGATATGCAAGTGATCCAGACTGGTCCACCAAATTCTTCTCCAGTACTTTTATGTCCAAGATCTTGGGGAAAGGGCCAGGGTGGCTACATTGAAAGGCTGTATATCTGGAAAGGGCCAGCCAGCTTTGTTCACAGGTAGAGCGTCTGTCTTAGAGTTAAACACAGGTAGAGCCTTGGTGGTTATCACCTGATATCACTTGATACTGAGCACCTGAACCCTGCCAAGTGTGATGCCATCTGCAACCCTAGACATGCCAAACATATAAGCCAATAATTTCTAGATTCTGCTTAAACCAATGTCCATTTGGTATCCTTTCCAGCTTTAAAAAATTGTTCAACATCCCTACAATACCAGTGTTTGAGAAGATAAGGCAAAAAAGATCAGGAATTTGTTTGAGGCCAGCCTGGGCTACATTAGCAAAATCCTGCCAAAAAAAATAACTGAATTCAGATAGGTAAGGATACAAATCAGTTGTTCTCAGGCTTGGTTCACAATGTTCTTAGTGTCTTGGTAGGTTTTCTTTTCTTTCTTTTTTTTTTTTTCAAAGGACCACAGGTCAAAGAAGTATCTTGCATTTCCGTGTACTAAGTAGTTAAGCTCAAACAATTAAATATTTCTGTCCTAACAAGCTATTATGCATGTACCAGTCAAGCACTGTGCATGGGTATAGGTATGTGCCTATGAGTGCAGGTGTCCTCAGATGCCAGAGGTGTTGGTTCAGGGAATCGAACTCTGGTCATCTGGAAGATCAGTATGTGTGCTATCACCTGCTGAGCCGTCTCTCCAGCCCCTGTGAGAATTTTTCAACTTTTGGATATGTCTAGACAATGCTGTCTTCTTCTTCTAGTCTATATTATTTTTTGTCCAGTACTAACGATATCAAGGCAACCATCAGAAATGGCTGCAAAAAGTACTATTTCCAAAGATGACGTAGTAAGTTAAATGTCTGAGAGATCCCAAGCATACCATTTCTCTCAAACCATGTTGATGATAAGGAAGGGAGGGCAACAATTGACAAATGAGACCTCGTGGGGGCTTCTGCAGTGGAAACTGAGGAGAGAGACAGCCTACAGAATGGGAGAAAACCCTTGCCAGTCATGAATTTGGCAAAGGGTTAATATCTAGAATACATAAAGAACTCAAGAAAAAAAAGTAAACAGCAAGAAAACACATAAGTCAGAAACAGCCTGTGGGACTGGACAGAGTTCTTGAAGGGAAAATACGATGGCCAATAAATATTTTTAAGTGGCAAATATTCGTACGCATCAGGAAAGGACAAACTATCTCTATTTTGGGATGCCTTCTCATCCCAGTTAGAACAGCTATCATGGAGGCAGGGAGCAGAGAAGGAGAGGAGGGGAAAGGAGAGAGAAAGGGAGGGAGGAAGAGAGAGAGAGAGAGAGAGAGAGAGAGAGAGAGAGAGAGAGAGAGA